TATATATATGTGGTGTTTTTATATGTTTGTATTGATTGACACTTATATATAATTTATGTTTTTATAGTATGCCTCATTTTTCTCCTGATGAAGCCTGATGAAGTGGATTTATCCAAGAAACGCATTGAGCTGAATCCCATCTAAATAACCAAAACGTAATCAATTTTTATATGGTATAGCGTAATATTGTTATACACTGGATATTGGTTTTATACTCATTATCTCAGGTGGATACAAGGTGGTTGTCGGTTTCGGACATTGCAGTGAGGCTAAATTATTATTGGGAGCCACAGTTTTTGTACTTTTTGTTTTGGTTTTTATGGACTGATGAAATTGAGGAAATATGTATTTAATAAAATGTTATATGAATTGGTGAAAATAACTCCACTACTATTAAACAGATTTCCTCTGTAGTTGGATGTGGCACTTTCATTAGGTGACTCACCCCAAAACATAACCATCACCACATGAAGAACAAGTATTAAATAAAAACAATTTTGCTTTGGTAAAATATTGTCTTTAATAATACTAAATGTCAACACTTTGACTTTAGATCTCTTTTAATTGCAAAGGAAACATTTATTGACAAATTCAACAACTTCTAACATTTGCAAATAAATATGTCTAACTGCATTCCTATTACAAACATTTATGTATCCCAATGGCTAAATCATAGTTGTTCCCAGTAAAAAGACATGTTGAGGTCTTTCATCTTCTCCTGATATATTTTATCGAAATACTCACTCTGGGCCACTGTAAAATGGTTCTTCCAGTCTCCAGAGATTCCTGTAAGAAGCACAACAAGGATATGAGAACTGAAAAAAACTGTCCCTAAACATAGCTAGATCATGAAGTGGTATTACAGGCATGACAATTTTGGCCCCTGCTGGAGATCCTGCCTTGTAATAGAATGGTGGGGTCTCACTCACCTCACCATCCTTACCACCAAGCATATACCTGCTGGATATGTTTTCAACTTTTGTTTTAGATTTTGTTCCTGAACTCTATCCTGAAAATGAATATCAACTTTGATGTTTCAGGGACAGAAAATCATCTCGTGTCCAGGGTACCACTTGCCAATATAATTCATGCCCTATGCATTGTAACAGGCCTTACCAGAATACAGCTAGAAAAGTTTCAGTGTTACAGCTCAAAATACAGTATATTGTCCCATACAGGTAAGCCTTAGTACAGCTGGGGGGGGGATTACCTCCTTATGATAGTGGAGAGGTTTAGACATCCTGCTATGACCCATATCAATATATTGGAAGGAATGTAGGGTAGGGCCAGCCAAGTTAGAGAAAAACAGCAGTTTGAAAAAAAGGGGGCAGTTTGGTTCTTTAGGAGAAGAAAAGTCAATCATCCTAAGGGGCTAAACCCTGCTGGTCCCTCAAGAATATGGGTGTTGGTCATGAGGGCCTACATTTCCACTACGGGAAAACAGTTTTGGAGTGAAACCCTAAAGCAGCCTCAAATATGGTTTAAGCTGGCAAAGATAAAGTGGCAAGAAAAAAGAAATAATGGATAATGATAATTATTTACCCATGGAGCTTAGAACTTTTCTATGGGATCAATACACAGAACAAACTTCCATATATTATTGATAAGTATAAGGAGAATATCTCCACAATGTTAAATTTTTTGTTTGATACCATACCATTAAGCATGTTTTTATCAAACTTATCCCAGCCTCAACTAGGATACGTGCAATGTAACAAATTTCATACAAATATCATTACTTTGCATGTCCAGCTGAAGACAAGTCATTGTGGGTGCTTTTCTATAACATGTTGGAGAAGGCCTATAGGAAAGCACGGATGTAAGAAAAACAGAGGGCCGTGTCAGAGCAAGCCAGAGGCAGCAGAGAGGTTGGAAGGGGGAAGCAGCTGGGGTGGGAGCCAGGGGCGTATCTGCCGCTTGTCCCGGAATTGGCCGGGGGGGGAGGGCGGCGTTGCTGCCTTGCCTAGGGCAGCAGCAAAGGTAAAAACACCGCTGGTGGGAGCATCTCCTGCCTCCAGATCATCAATCTATCTCCTGCACTGTGCTCAACTGAGATTTGAAACTGACAGCTCAGTCCTGCAGCTAGCACTGACAAAGTACAGATCTCCCACTACAATGAGTGGAGTTCTGCTGTCAGTGGAATAGCCACCTGCTCTACATCAGGGTTGCTTCGGTTGAAGGGAGAACACATTTTGGTTATGATAATGTTAATGAAAACCCTGCTCTGTCCAGGGGCGGATCCAGAGTCTATTTTCTCGGGAGGGGCACTGCCAGAAAATTAAGTAGATCCCTAGATCCAGACAAGCCCAGCCTCCTGTCTCCCACGCTGTCAGAAACTGCATACAGCGTGTGCTGATTACTACTTAAACCGGCGCGCTGTGTGCAGCTTCTGAGAAGAAACGCTATTAGCATAGCGAGGAAGCTGGCTGCGCATTTTGCATCACTCACGCTACGCTAATAGCGTATCTTCTCAGAAGCTGCACACAGCTTGGCCGTTTAAGTAGTAACCAGCACGCTCTGTAGGCAGCTTCTGACAGCGGGGGAGACGGGAAGCTGGGCTTGTCGGTGGATCCAGGCATCAGGTGAGTATTAAAAAACAAAAATGTTTTATTTTATGTTCCTGGGGACATGTAGGGCTCATTCACACTGGAATCGGCCGGCACGTACAGCTCCGTGCTGTGTGCACAGCCGTATCGGGCAGCTCCCGGGAAGGACAGGTGCTGTGTGTGATTAGTATGCAGCCCCTGTCCTTCTCTATGGGTGTATGCAGCCGTACACCCCCCCCTATGCTCACCCGCCCAGCACGTCCGTACTTTTCTCCCCAACCTTACCTACATCCAGGCTGCAGCACCTCTTCTTGGCGGCCAGTGGAGGAGAGGGTCCTCACTCACGCTGACCCACATACCAGGATGTCGCTGTGGCTTTGGCTGCCTGCAGAGACGCATATCGGCTCCGCCTCCACCAGGCTAACAGTGATGACAGGCAGCCGCCTGGTGTATTCGGATCCCCGCACAGCACACACGCCGGAACATACAGCTGTCCCTCCGTGTGTGTCACAGACTTTACTGCAGTTCATTGTACAAAGCTTTTACAATGAACCGCAGTAAAGTCTGTGACACGGAGCTGGAGGAGGGACAGCTGTCAGTACACAGTGCTGGACGGGTGGCTGCGGCAGAACACTAATCTCGCCCCTGGATCCGCCACTGGCTCTGTCATAACATGCTCATTATGACTAAATCAAATGTCACAACAGCTCCTCCATCCAGTTCGGTTTTCCTTGGACCAAAAGGTAACAGCCCTAAGGCTGGTGGACAGCAGTTGTCATTTCTTTACTGTAGGCACAGACATGCAAAGGCTCATTCATTTCAGGTTGGCGGGGGGGTCCTTGTAAGCAGTCATTTAAATCTGGCCTAACAAATATAGCAGATTTAAAGGATATCCTAAACAAGTGACAGTACATTGCAATCATCTGTTGAATGAAAATGCAGACAGAGCTGTTGGTGAAAAAAATGCTACAGTTTCTGGAACAGATGAGTAGTGAAGAGGAGGAATCCTCAATGGAAGATTTCACACAGGTACTTTAAAAGCTATGAAATAATAAACAATAAACATCCAAGCTAAGTCCTTAAAAGCAGAAAGTAAACATTTTCATGGAAGCATCCTTGCCCTTAATAAGAAGGTATGGGTAGAAGAAACATTTGCCGTGGAATAGAATGTGAGCATGTTTAGTACTTTGGAAAGGAGACACCATGAATTGTAGATACTAAAGAGGAATATCACTGCTCAGCACAACATTAATAGTGGAGTGTCTATTGAGTGTATTTAGCAGAATTCATGGCATGAGTATATGGCCTCAGGTGTATGAGGACTCTTTGAGCAACCAAATGACATTGCCATTTCTCTTGAGGTACAGAGAATGTGGCCCAACCTTCTTCACACTTGAGTTTTCAGGTGATTTAGAAGTGTTTTTGCTTTTTTCCCCCCAACATTTTCAGGCTTGAGTGCTTTGTTTTAGCTAATGCAAAGCTAGTTATCAGGAGGTGGCTGGTTGTTAAATGCATAATCATGTGGAAAACAGGAAAAACGTATTTATCAGGTGTTCCCATTAAAGTCAAGCGGGACAAAAATGTGAAGTACTGCCTGAAAAAAAGTGCATGTACTTTTTCAAACAACAAGTAACGCAATGCTGTGTGTGAACGGGCAGCATTGAAACTAATGTTTTTTTTTCATGTTAAGTTTTATCATGCTTTGGGAAAGATGCAACAAAATGCTTAGGTGTAAAAGGAGGCTAAGGTTTTTCCTGCTGAAAACTAAGTAAAAATAAATATTCGGTCTGTATTTGGAAGGGGCAGCTAGTGTTCAAGCCATTGGCGGAACTACCAGGGTCGCAATTGTGACCAGGCCCTGGTGTTCCGCCGGTTAGGGGGGGCAGAGAGGAAGAAGAGGCCCCACACCCTGAGATAGCGCCTCTCCTTCTCCGCCGCTCTGCCACCCGCAGCATGTACGGGCGGCAATGCGGGGCTGGAGAGGCTGTGTCACTGATCTGTCACTCGTCCAGCCAGGCCCGGCGTTACCGCAAGGCAAGTCAGACGTAGAAGCTAGTAAGCTAGTGGTATTCAATTATCATTATAATGTAGTGCTGGGACTTGTCGTCCTGCATAGCAGGTGCTATTCTGCATTGCTGTCCCAGCCCTACATTATATTAAGTAGGGATGCACCAGTGCCAATACTGGACATTTTCATGAGCACTCATACTCGTACTCGTGAAAATGCCCCGATACTAAACGCAGATATTGTCACTACATTTTTCAACTGAAGCAGCAGCCTTCCACAAGTCAACCACACGGTGCCTGTTTATAGTGGCTTCCCATGGCTGTGGGGGGGGGGGGGGGGGGAGGAGTCCCTGTGGGAAGCAGTGACTGACACCGCTCACTGTAGGGAGACTATCAGGAAGTGAGCAGATCGGAGGCATGTTTCTGCTCCCTTCCCGATCCTTAGAGCCGACCTGTGACTGCTTCTTTGTCACAGGTTGGCTCCAACTTGGACAGGCGATGTTCCGGCAGTGATAAAAAGAAAGACAACAGGAACCAAAGCAGAAGAGACATAGTACCCAGAGAAACAATATGGTGACCTTAACTGCTTCCCGGCTGGCCGTTGTACAAAAACGGCCGGCCGGGAGCTTCCTGGATGTAACAGGCCATGCATACATGGCCTTTTAGCCCTGCCCACTTGGGCGCGCCATGTGGCGCGCGCGAGCAGGAAACGCCGTCAATTTAAAAACAGGCATCGCTTCTAGAGCTGCCGGCCTGTGTGTCCCCCCTCCCTCCACAACCCCCCCTCCCGTTGTCACGCTGGTCCCGGGCTCCGCTGTGACCAGTATAGTGCTTCTCTGACAGGGGATCAGAGGGAGGTCTCCGGTCCCCTCTCCGGTGTCAGAATGCGGAAGTGATGTATATTACATCACTTCCGCATTCTCGTGTCACTCTCCAGCTTCAGATGCTGGAGAGAAACTGATGAAGCAGATCTCTGCTTCTTCAGGGGGGTTCTAGGTGACATTAGGGGTCTTGGAGACCCCTGATGTCTCCATAAAGAGGACCTGTCACTTCTTTTGCTATCTCATAAGGCGGTTTCTTAGCCCCCTATCTGATACCAATAAAGTTAAGTGAAAAAAAATAGGAAACAAAATTAAAGTTTCAACCAAAAAATTTAAAGTTACACATAAAAAAGAATAAAAAACAAAAAAAATTTTTAAAGTCCCCACCCATACACACACGCATGCAAACATGCGTCAGATGCGCATGCCTGCGAAAACGACGATTGTGCCCATTACCCGCACATGTTACATAGCGCCGCGAACGTCGTAGTGAGAGCAATAATTCTGGGGCCATCAATCACTGATAACACACAACTGAGGAGCTGTAAAAGCTTTTAAAGCGTCGCCTATAGTCAATTTTGAGTATGGAAGTTTTTTTGCGATTTCGCGGGTGCGCGCAATTTTTAAGCATGACATGTTTGGTGTCTATTTACCCGACGTGACCCCATCTTTTATATTTTACCAAAAAAATGGGTAATAATCATTGTTTCCTAATATAATGTAAAAAAAATAGGGGTGCGGAAATTAACGATTAATCCGTCGATTAATCATTAATTTCTTTGATCGATCAAAATTATTTTGATCGATCAAAGTACTCACCTCTCCGCCGGCTTGCGTCGGAGATTCGGTGACGTCACGAACATCGCCGTCACCGGATTCCTCCCCCCCTCCCCGAGTGGCTCTGTCGGCTAACGAAGGGAAGGGGGGAGGAGTCGGGTGATGTAGTTGTCCGTGATGGGTAACGAAGGGAAGGAGGGAGGAGTCCGTTGACGTCGATGTCCGTGACGTCACCGGACTCCTCCCCCTTCCCTTCGTTACCTCAGCTGCGAGGACCCAGCAGCAGCTACCTGATACAGAGACCCGCCCTTCACCTTCCCTGATATGTTCGGTCCAGGCAGTCAGCTGACCTAGTTTTGCGCCCTCTTGTTGTTCTAACAAGGCTGGTTAGACCCCACAGAGCCCTGCTACCCTGGTGAGGCCCCCTCAAAGCTCTGGTGAGACCCCCCTCTGTATGTGCGTTATAATTATTCGAAATTAGTCGATTAATCGATTTTTTAAAAATTCGATTAATCGAACAGGAAAATTTTAATCATTACCAGCCCTAAAAAAAAAAAAAACCTCTTTTTTTTTTCAACATTTTCAGGAATTTTCCAGAAATATAGTAAAAAATAAAACCCCCAGTGGTGATTAAATACTACCAAAAGAAAGCTCTATCAGCCCCCAAAAAATTGTATAAAATTCATTTCAGTACAGCATTGCATGACGCAGCGCTGAATACTAAAAAATGGCCTGGCCAGGAAGGGCGTCTAAACACCTGGTCAGCAAGTGGTTAATAGGGACCTTTTGCTCAAGCAGTGACACAATGCACTGAACAGGATTTGATCCATGGCTTAAAAAAATTAGAGTGAGAATCATATGACCTTTTTTGGCCATCAAGTTTATCTAATAGAAAAATGAATTAGTACATGAATCAAAACCTCCATGCATAGACCTCTCTACCAGTTGATCCAAAGGAAGGTAAACAAACCTTATTAGGGTTGCCTAATTTGCTCTGACAGTGAAAAAAATTCCTTTAGATGCCTTTAGGCTGGGTTCACACCTGGGCGTTTTTCAGCGCTGATCGAAGAACTAACGGTACTGTCCCATTTATCAGAAAAAAATATACATGTTGAAGGGCTTTATAGAGAGGTATAAACCGATGCATACGTAAATTTCCAACATGATATATCCTTTTTAATTGATGACCATGTACACAATCAATTGGTAGACACAATATCCAAATACATATCTGACAGTTCGTCCCGACGTGTTTCCCAATTTGCTTCCTCGGGGGAGCGAAACTAGGATAATCTAATAGATACAGATTGTATATTGTCTTACTGTACCAACACAGTATTCATTAGGAAATTCATTAGGATACTGTATCCAATAATTTCTGTGATCATGGTTGGTTTTAAAGTAACAATAGGCCTGGGACTACAAACATGGGGCATACAGTATGATTCTGTATTTTGTGGATGATTTTGTATATTGCATCAAATGGATGAAATTTTACTGTATTTATATGTATGTTAAATACATTTTTGATACATTTTACGTATGCATCGGTTATACCTCTCTATAAAGCCCTTCAACATATATATTTTTTTCTGATTTACAATTATTAGGGTGGGAGGCGACCGAAGGGACCCAATATAGAGGCATGTCTGTAGAATGTGCTCTGATTTGGGGGTGCCTTAAATTACTGATGAACAACTGAATCTTAAATAAGTGCTGGGCTTATTTACAACTAGGGATATACATACATTCTAATACAATTAAGGGGATTGAAAGGGGAATTGGGGATAGGAATTGAGGTTAAGGATCCTACAGCTAGCTACACCATTCTCTCTCTCTCATTCACACCAGCCATGGGTTTTTTCTCTGTTCTTCGGACACGCCTCTCCAGCAGGTCTCAGCGAATCACATTCTTGATTGCAGAGTACAGAAAGACTTGTCTTGTCCAAAGGTCTTGCTTGTCAGCTAGGTTAGTGTCACACAGGAAGAAGGTTCCATCATATGCCCCTGCCCCCATCCCAGCATATATGCCTTGCTGACACAGGTGAGGGCAGTAAATACCAGCAGGGGGTCGGGCTTGCCCCAGGACATGACAGTCCAGCAGATCTCCTTTGATCAGTGTCCAGCCCCAAGAACCCTTTGATGGTCTTCATTTGCATATCAAACAGCACGGGCAGCTCACGATATTAAGGAACCTTTCCATCAAAGATGTATCATAGATGTCAATTATTTTAGCTTCCAACAATGTCACAAACCTTTTTAGACTGTCCCATTTATGTCGGGACATATGGTCAGCCTACCCACATGTGACCCAGATAGCAAAGAAAATTAAAGAAAACTACATAGGATCTAACTATCTCCTATGCTCTTTAAAACGTAGATAAAGGTTTTGGCTTCAGATACTGTGATACTTTCTCTGCATACTAGTGATATCATTTGGAATTCCACCTTACTTACCTTTACGTAAAAAGGAGCCTTTCGTCTGATCCAGTACTTCAGATGGCATTTCAGTCCAGTTGGACATCTTATTTTCCTTCATGGTGCTGAAAGTTGAATGCTTTACAACTGAGTCAATCTGAGCATCATCCAGCTGCTTTCCTAGGAACTTACAGAGTCTCACCACACCTCCACGGGGGTCCTGGAAATAAGGAATCAGTTTAACTACTGTTGCCATGAATAGTATAATAATGCAACTAGTAAAATGCAGAATGTCCTAGGGTGACAATGCTTATTCACGGTACTGTATCTATGGAGGAGCAGCCTTGTCCACTGACAGGAAGTGTGTTAGGACCACAGAACACCTCCTCTGCTCATGTCCATAACATTAGGGGATGTGTTCTGTAGTTTACAGTGATAACCTCAGCAAGGCTAATAATTGTTTGAGATAACACTTTAGATTGCACGGGGCATAACAGGACTAGATTTTTGCAAGGGGCAACAGGTATTTTTGGCACGTATTAACCTTTTCAATAGTATACTTAACAGGCCAAAGGGAGAAAATAATAGAAGTTCATGATTACGGTTTGTTCATCCTTAGACCTTTAACGTAGTAGGTGGCCTGCGTGTTTGTTACAAAATTGTAGTATATATCCCAGCCAAATTGACTAACTGTTTATCCTTTATGCTGGCCACATATGCATCCATTTTTCATCTATTCAACCATTCAATCCACTCATTAATTTGAGTGTACTATCACAAATAGAGGAATAGGATTCATACATTCATATTGATGGGTTTATTTACAGTACAAAACTCCCACCCGGCATATACAGTATCTGTGTGGATGCCATTCACACAGCACCAGTGCCCCTAGAGGACACAGAGTATAGGAAATTCCTATATTCCTCAGCACCATCCAGGGGCGCTAATGCCATAGGAACGGCATCTGCCCAGCATTACAGATGTGTAGGGAAAGGTTATCCACACTGTCAAGTTTTTATTACTGTCTCTGTCTCTTGTGGAGACATTTACCCTTCTATCTTATCTGGTGACCAGGAAAAATTTTAAGAGAAACGGAGGAAGGAGGGGTAGAGAGCAGGGTAGTGGCTTGCTTTGCTGCGCCTGTCTGTTTGTGAAGATAAACACAGCTTATAAGCACACAGAAGGGTGGCTCTATAGGACCCTGCAAGGTATATGGGCCACCCTAAAACAGGATACCAGGACCAATGCTCAGGGGACCAGATGGTTCCGCAGGAAGCTAAAACTTTGAAACATCAAGGAGCAGCATCCATTTTAAGTGATTTAATATGCATATGAAATGGCTTAAAAATCCTTTGACTTTAATATAACTTGAAGTGGGCTCAGAAATGTTTATATTTTAAATGGTTTATGTGTTTAAACAGTATATTCCATACCTTTAAAAGTTCCTCATATGTGATGTAGAAGAATCTGCTGTCATCCTTCATTTGCATCCAGCCTTTAATATGGTCAAACCAAGACCCGTACAGAGCTGGAAATATTAGAAGAACATATTATTGATGACTTAAATGATATACATATTTGTTAAATTCACTAACAATGATAGGATACAGAGTAGGATTACATAAATGTGACATATTCCACCGTCATCTTTTTTCTGATTGTTTATAATAAATATAGTCAAATCACTAATACCCTGCTTTCTTTAAAAAGTGTGACATCATCCTAAGCTGCGATGACAGAAATTTGTGATTCCAACATTAATAAGGTTATGTGCCCAAAATGTCAGTACTGCTAAGTGGTAGAGGAACCCCCTGCATGAATGAAAACAAGCGAGCACCTCTTACGTGGGGAACATTTGATGAGAAAGGGCTGTTCTAGTGGGACAGACCTTACATGATGATCATCAGATACAAGGAGGCTGCACATGTGCCTACGATGGTTCAAGTGGTTGACCTCCAGAGTGGCAGCAGTGCCACAGGTAAGTGGTAACATGTTATTGAAGCTTTATTATTAATGTTAATAAATGTAATTAAAAGCCACAGGGATCCTAAAGTCATTTCACATAGTAAGCTGGTTAGGTGGATCCAGAAAGAGTTCACCAAACAAGCTTGGATCACATCCAGAACCAGTATTAAGGTGAACCATAGGACAAGTAATAGAATTGTTTAGGAGGTACATAAACAGCTCACTCAGTCTCTTTTTTTTCCATGCACAGTCACCCAGAGGGCAAGCTGCTTCTCTGTCCAATAGGTGGCCATCACACAGCAAAATCATTGATTGACCATTTTGGAGTTGATCCTTTTGGAGTAATGCATAACCTCCACTTTGTGCATAGTGCTTTTGAAATTGAAAATCTGGTAAACAAAATTGTTACCATGCACCATCCCATACGTAACACAGTGATACTTTCACATACTTTGAATATTCTTTTATTAGATGACATGTAAACATGTTTTATTCATATTTTTCTTATGTCCCACCTAGTTTTTCTTAAAGGAGAACTATGAGGTGAGTGCTTTTCACTCACCTCATAGTTCTAGCCGACCTGTGACAATGAGACTGTCACAGGTCGGCTCAGTAGATCGGGAGGTGAGCGAACACATACCGGCGTTCACTCACCTCTCGATCCTGTCACGGCTCTCTGCCATAACAGGGGAGGGGCTGGATTCCCCCCTCCCCGCTCCGATCCGCCAGCGCTGACTGGCGGAACGGATGGGGGAGGGGGCAGGTACAGCTGGCTCTGCCTCTAGATAGGCAGAGCCAGCTGTCACATAGCTGGGTGGATCCCGGAACAATTGTCGGGATCCGCTTCAGCTGCGGCGTCTCAGTATACCGCGAGCTACAGCTCGCGGTATACTGAGCCTAGGGTGACGGGAGGACGCTAGTTTGTGTCCTCCCGTTACCCTTAGGAGAACTATGGGGAAAATACTTAACCCCATAGTTCTCCTTTAAAGCTATATGCCTATACATGGATTTCCAACAGGTCTATCCAGAGTTTAGTCGGGTATATACATTTCTATTTTCTTCGTTCAACCTGCTGGCTGAACAAAAAAAAAATAGAACAGATTCCTCCATCAACGCTTACGAGCATTGAGGGAGGAATCTTCTGCCGTTTCCTTTGTACCTGAAAAGAGCTGGTAGCTTACTGGCTGCTAGCTCTGTTCGGTTGACAATTTTCCAACATGCTCCTTCGATCAGCTGATTGAGGGTTTCCCGATCGGAAAGGTGCTGACAGTGGCACACATACAATAAGTCGTGTCTACCCAACCCAAGCTTGTATACCCGGTTTTAGCGACAGCTCAGCTGTGTGTTGAATATCCATAATTTACTCGTTGTTTGCCATTGTAAATGATGTGCACCTGCAATATGAACAAGATGTGCACACGATCTGCCACCCCAGGCCAGCTAAAATCAGCACAGGAAATAATTCAAAAACAACTGCTGTTGTAAATTACAGGCTTACCTACAGCAAACCATTTGTGCAGAACAAGTTTCTTGGGCAAACCTCTTAATTGTAACGAAACCGGAAGTCAGGCGGTCGCAGAACTCGATAGGTTCTCAGTGTCGACAGATCACCAGCCCAAGTGGCTTCGTCGGCTAACGAAGGGAAGGGGGGAGGAGTCAGGTGACATCACGGACATCGACATCACCGGACTCCTCCCCCCTTTCCTTCGTTAGACGACGGAGCCACTTGGGGAAGGGGGGAGGAGTCCGGTGACGTTGATGTCACCGGATCTCCGACAGGCCTCCCGGAAGACCCGGAAGCTGTCGGAGAGGTGAGTGTTTTCATTACTGATTAAAAGAATTTTAATCGATCAAAAATGTTAACGATTAATCAGGTAATTAATCGTTAATTTCCCCAGCCCTAAAAAAAACCTGTTAGAATACACATTACTGTGTTTATAGCAACAGCTTCTGCAGTATACAATTTCGGTCACTAGATGGCAGTGTTTTTAAGTTCTGTTATATATCTATGGTGTATGTACTCTGTTTTATTGAATAAGGTCGGGAATAAAGCTGTGGCTTCCTTCCTGTTTTCAAGCCATGTGCAGCATGCATATCAGACTGTGTGCTCTGTGAGGATGTGCAAGAAGTTCCAACAAAAACAAAAGTATTTTAGGGCTTGTCCACACCAAATGCAGACAAGATCTACATGAGTTTCTGCACACACAGTGCAGTGGGTTTTGACACTGGAACTGAACGCTGCGGTGTGAACTAGAGCCCAAAAAAACCATTGGAATACATTGGACCGTTTTGATCCGTTCTGTGACTGCTCTGCTCTGCACCTGCTCTGCGCTTGGTGTTAACTAACCCTTACAAGATCAAAATGGAACATTCTGCAAAATGCAATGTAAATGAGTTACAACTGCTAAAAACACAGATTGTGGATTTCTGAGGGAGCATTTCATGGCAATTGTCATATAATAAAATATGGACTTTTTTCTTGTTGGGGTAAAATTTAATTTCTTTTTGTAAGTTTATAAATTTTTTATTAATGTTCTATTTTTTTAATTAAATATTTATTTTATTCCAGCACCAATAATATTGGTGTCACGGAAACAACCCCCACCTCCTTGCCTCTGCCTTAGGCAGTCAATGTTGATGGGAAGCCCCTGATGTCTGACCTAGTCATCTAGGTTGCCTAGGGTGGAAACCGGAAAAAAAAAAGCAGTTTTATTAGTCCTGGCAGGAAATGGGATCCAATGTGGTTTATCAGTACATTAGGTATAATCTGGCATTGCAGATCATTGACATAATTACACTAGCTTAACTGAAACACAATAAATAAAGGAATGGGTTTTTTATTGAGTATTGTTTCATATCATAAACTTACCATTCCCATTCACAAAGTTGTCTATGAGTTCTTGAAAATTCTCAGGTTCCTTAAAAAGGTAAAGAATCTTGGTGAAGTGGAACAAAGACACAATTACGTCTTTAGGATTCCGCATTGTATAAACAATCTGAAAAGAATCAAAAGAATTCAGGATATTTTAGCATGTCAAAGGTGACATTTCTCATGTGTCTGTGCTGCAAATCAGGCTTCAAAGCAGATTAAAAAAGGAAAAAACAATTAATGGCATTATATATATTTCTATAAAATTTAAAAAAATAAGTTTTGCGTTTTTTTCAAATTTGGGACGGGTTTATACTGTACAAGAATACTTTGTAGGTCACGCGGGATTTCAGTATGTAGTACTTTAACTAATAAAGCAAAAAACGTATTCCAGAAGGGTCGAAGTTTAGGGCAGTTCCACCATATATGGGACATGGTGCCAGGTTGGGCACAACCCCGAAAGCAGGAAGAACTAGTCCCTGGATAAATCACAGCTGGTACTAAATACCAGTGTGAGAAAACCTTATAATTAGCTTCTAACCTCCCTTTTAGATTGTAAGCCCTCAGGGGCAGGGCCCTCCTTACCATCTTGTCTTGATTTGTATTGTGATTGTAATGTCTTCCCTATATTGTAAAGCACTGCACAAACTGTTGGCGCTGTATTTATACCCTGTATAATAATAATAATAACAAAGACACATTCAATAATCCCAATGTTAACCGTGAAAAACAAATCAGCCATGTTGCAGAAGAGATGGACACTCCTAGGTCCGATTCCCAAGCAGACATGTATGAGAGTTTGGTGAAAGGACACAGTTTTATCGAATATAATAAAGAGATACTCCCTCCTTTGGCCACTCTTTCCTGTGCACCATTGTTTAAAGAAAGATAACAGGGTATTCCCAGCTTTCGGAACGTCCAAGGAGTAAATGTTGCAGCTGCCGAAAACGGAAAAGTTCCGAATGTGGCATTGACAACTTATTTTGACAGTATATCAAGGTTAGTGGTTTACCCTGTTTACAGAAGTCTCCAATTGTATAGAGACCCTTGTCAATCCACCACTGAAAGGCTTTAGTCTGTAAAGACCCGAAGGAAAGGCAGGGTTTCCAAACACTGGGGCCACAGGGGAGTGGGGAGACACTAAATCATAATTTTTGTGCATCCTGTCCCATAGAGCTAAGGAGTGAGAGAGAGTAGGGGTGGATACCACCGGTCTCTGTCTAGCTGACATCCATTGCAGCACATCAACGGGTAACCCAGAGGCTGAGTCCAATTCAATGGATACCCAATCAGGTGTTGGGTTGGAGAGGTAAAGAGAGGAAAGCTGCATCAGCTGTGCTGCCCTTTAGTATAGTAGGAGATTGGGAACTCCCCTAGGCCTAAAAAGTGTTGACTTAGAGAGTCTCGGATGTTTATTGGCCCAAATGAAAGATAAGAGAGAAGATTGGAATTTTAATATATCTACCCTAGGAACTGGAACCGGTAACGTACGATAATAATATAAAAGCTTCGGGAGTAAGGTCATCTTAATAGCATGGGTTTGGCCTAGCCATGATAAGTTGTAGGAGGACCATCTGTTCATATCCTCTTTGAGTGTCTTGTAAAGTTGAGGATAATTGGCCTGGTATAAGGTGGAAAATGAGGGTGTAAGTGTAATCCCCAGATATTGTAGAGAGTCTGTTTGCCATTCTAAGGGGAAATGGTGGGTGAGCCGAGACCACAAGTCAGAAGGCAGGTTGATATTGAGAGCTTCCGATTTAGATGCATTAACTCAAAGTCCAGAAACTAAAGCATAACTTTCGAGGATGTTAAGGACATTCGGTAGTGAGGTCAAAGGGGAGGTTACGAATAGGAGCAAGTAATCTGCGAATAATGCACATTTATGCTCAACATCACCGCAACATACCCCCTGGACATCCGAGCTCTCTCTAATTAAGCGGTTCACTTGCAATAGCAAACAGCAGAGGCGAGAGAAGGCATCCTTTTCTGGTGCCTTTTAGTATATCTATAGGTCCCGACAGGTTGCCTTGTAGACGGACCTGTGCAGTGGGTTTAGAATAAAGGGCTCCCATCATCCACATAAAATAGGGAATAAAACCCCAATGCTTCAACAGGCTGAAAAGGTGTTGCCAAGAGACTGAGTCAAGCACTTTTTGTAGATCATTGGATAGTAACAACCCATGTTGAGATGGACCGCCATCCCAGGAGGATTGGCGTAAAGAGATGAGATCAACCTCCCTCCTGACCTGGTCTGATCCTTGTCTACCTACAATAAATCCTACTTGGTCATGGTGGATATAGGACCTCTAAAACGAGTTCAATCAGTTTGCCAAGATTTTCGTCAGGAATTTTTATTCATTATTAATAAGAGAAATTAGTCTGTAATTGGAGACCTCTCCAGGGTCTTTATTTGGTTTTGGTATGACACTTATAAATGCCCTATTTAGGTCCGGATCCTGAGGGCCACCCGCTTAGATGGCATTGTAGACATTTTTCATGCGTTTGTCATCAAGATCAGCAATACTTTTACCATTTTACCTTTGGAGTCTGATAGGAATTTCAAATAGGGAGCCACGGATAGTCACTTTGTGGACCGCCCACAGTGTTACAGGAGACATCGTAGAAGGAACATTAAGGTCACAGTAGGAATTGAGTTTCGAGGTGATCTCGTGCAGAATGGAGGTGTCAGTGAGTAGAGATTAGTTCAGTCTCCAACAAAAAGACTTGGACTGATCTCTAAAAGCGGAAAGAGCCATTATAGTCATAGAGTGGTCCGACCAAGCAAGGTCTATGATTTTAACTGAGTCTACCTAAGGCACTAGTGAGAAGGAAACAAAAATGTGATCAATCCTAGAGTATGTGAGATGGACATGAGAATAGAAAGTGTAAGCTCTCCAAGTCGGGGTCATTTCCCTCCAAATAACAATTAAGGAGTGAGAGTGCAAAAGTCTCGCCAGGGCCATACCAGCTTTAGAAGGATATTTAATGTTACTCCTGCCCATACGAGTCTTATGCATGCTAGAATCAAGAGCAACATTAGAAGCACCGGTGCACACAATTGCACCCTCCAGATGAGGAATAAGCAATTCAAACATAGATGAAAAAAAGGCTACTTGTGAACAGATGTTCCTCTATGTGACCCTTAAGCAGAAGGTAGCACCCTTCAGGATCCCTAATCTCCAGCTCTGGATGAAAGGAAACATTTTTAGAAAAGCAAAACGCTACTCCCTTTGTTTTATCCAAAGCCAGAGCATTAGCCAGAAAAAATTGTGGTTAATGTTTATAGACACAAGAGGGGGATTAAGATGTCGGGAAATGAGTTTCTTGCAGAAAGAGAACATTCACATGGTGGGACTGATAATATTGAAAAGCTTTCTTCCGCTTAACTGGAGAGTTAAGGCCTTGAGTGTTGTGGGATGCTATAATCAGGGGCTTACTTACCATAGGAGTTACCATGGGGACTAACCAAATCAGATCTAGGGCAGCACAGTGAACCTTCAACCTGTAACCCCACCAGGAGCCTGCAAAAGGATATAAAGAAGAAGCAAGAAAAGACAAAGCGAAGAAAAGGAGCTATAAAAGGTGATACAGCCACAACAAAAAGAGAAAACTAAAAAAAATAACAAAACGGAAACAGAGGAAACCATACTATGTGCCATCAACACTCAGTAGATCAACTAAACGTTGATCAGTAGTTTGACGTAGACCCTGGGGATTACCCCGAAGGCTAGGTCAATCAAAGGCTCACGACAGCCTACAGCGGTCGAGGCCCACCCCAAATTATATATGAGAAGAATAACATTTCACAAACTGACTGTATGAGAGAGCAGTACAGCGAAACTGTCATCCATCGAACACCCCCCGAACCTCCACCCATTCAACCAGTGCAGAAAAAAAAAACAGAGAAAGTGGCCTTAACTATCAATTCACAGCAAGACCTGAGTTAAAGTCCAACATTGGATGTAGACCGGACTGTCAGCCAGGAGAGGTGGTAGAAGACGATTTCCTGGCATTTGGTTTCCTCCAAATCGGTGACAAGTGACAAGGATTTAATGTGATAGAAATGCTGTTTAACAATAATGTCCCTTGAGGAACCTTCAGATCTCAGTGCTGTTAAGGCACAATGAACACAGTCCAGGTGTTGGTCAGGGACATCGGGCAGCATATTTCGGATGAGCGATTTCACTAAAGAGTCAACATCAGTCACAGACTCAGGAACCCCTCGGATCCTAAAATTGTAGCGCTGAGACCTGTTTTCGAAGTCATCGATCTTAGATAAAGTGTCATCTAGCTGAAGTTGAAGATCTTGAATAGACAAGGTGTTTTGATTTGTGCGAGTTATGGTAGCATCCATTTTAGATTCCAAGGATTCAATACGGGCACCCAACTGCTTGATATCCCCCCTGATATCAGTAGTGATTTTCTGAACCATATTAGTTAGGCCACAATAAAGCATATCAGAGATTTTGGGGAGGAGCTCAGGTCCATGGAAAGGATCATTAGAGTCTATTATGGCACATCAGGGCTAGAGGGAGACATCCCTGCTCGTGTTTGTAACATGTCAACCAGGGTATGTTCAATCAGGAATGAAGTAGACCCGGGAGATCTGCAGGCATGGGATCCGTTACATACAGCAGTGGGTGGAGAAGGCGATGGGTGTACCTCAATCTCCCCAATATCAGCAGACATACTTCTGGGATGGAGCTGGCGGGGCACGCTATCCTTTCTGCTTCCGGGTCCTGGAACGTTTGGAGGAGCCACCGACCATATCAGGTGCACTGACGATAAGGGCGGGGGATGCCCCCGGAGACAGCCGCTAACAGTGAGCTATTGTGGCTGGGGTGGGCTAAACGATGCCGGTGAGGTACGGAGCTCCAGGCTTAAGTGGCCATCTTGGAGAGCTCCGCGCATGCACCTCCATGTGTGAACATTTTCATGACTCACATTGCAGGATTTCTTAATTTTTTATGAAGGTTTTATTAGGCCTGAAGCCTAAAAATTCTAACTTTTCTCCACAGGAAAACACACACACATCTCTTGCACAGCACAGAGGCAGAAATTTCCATCTGGGTATGAAGAGGAAAGCTAACAAAAAATGTAAGTTTCTGTGTTCACATACATCAACTGCACATTCCTGCATCATTTTATCACAACCTACACCAACACAACACACAAATGGCACAGCACATCAGGCATTACCACAACACTTGATTTTTGTACAGTTTTTTGGAATAAGTTTCTTATTTGCAGTTTTGCATTCCTTCATTTTTTTTACTGTTTTCACAAAAAGGTGGAATTTAAAATGTACAAATATTTGTTATTTATTAATTACAAAATCTTATAAAATATTTTTTTTTGTGTGCGCTGATACTGAATTTAGTGTGCTTTTACCGATTTAATTGTGTATTTTTATCGGTTGATCATTGATTTGATAAACATTTGCGCAATTATCATAGGATCCACACAATTAGTAGCGCAATTTCTTATTCTAGTGCTTCTGTGCTTTCATGAAATGCATGGTTTGGGGGGTCTTTTACAAACTCTAAAAGCAGCAGTTGAAAAATGTTTTAAAAGGTGAAAAATTTCAAAAATGGCCTGGCCAGCTGAGGTCAAAAGTGTTTGGCAGCAAAAGGGTTACAGCTAAGTATAAGATTCACTTAATCTTTTGTACAGTTCCCAAGCAAGTAATTTAGATGTTGTTTTAGTAATTTTAGATGTATGTAGTCATACAGATATGAGTAAGGTTGCCTCATACCTTTGCTTTAGATGTGAAAAAAGATTTGGCAAACAATTGGTGGGGTAGGTGGGAAGATATAATTCTTGGCTGAGAAAGTTGTTTTTCTTGTTCTTTAAATGCCTCGGTCTCATACCATGGTGACCTTTCATAGCTAAGTATACTCTGACATGTTGTGGGATCTCCATCATGTTTGATTAAATTCAAGATTTCTATCATCCAGTTCGTACCTGTAAAAAATCCAAACAAAAATTATATATGTGATAACAAAAAGCTGACAATTGTGTCATATTGCAGATCTTAAAGGATTTTTTTTCCATTATGCTCCAGACTACAAATAGTAATGCACAGGGACAGGGGCATATCTAGAAATCACAGGGCCCCATAGCAAACTTTTGTATGGGGCCCCCAAAACTCCCCCCCCCAAAAAAAAAAAAGTGTCTACCTCCAGAACACATTCCCGTGTGCCTGCACCATCTCTTCAGATCTGCTCCTGCTGGCTCTGAGCTGAAGAAAAGATCACTCCGCTGCTCACTGCTGCAGAGCCCACCATAGACCCGCACAGCCCACAAAGGACCCTGCAGAGCTCACCTGAGGCCCGGCAAAGCCCACCTGAGACCCAACACATACCAGAGACCTTGCATAGCCCACCTAAAACCCTGCACAGCCCACCTGAGAGTGACCCCGCAGAGCCCATCTGAGACACTGCAGAGCCCACCTCGGACCCCGCACAGCTCACCATAGACCCTGCACAGTCCACCTGAGACCCAGCACATACCAGTGACCCTGCAGAGCCTACCATAGACCCCACACAGCCCACTATAGACCCCGCACAGCCCACTTGAGACCCCGCATAGCCCACCTGAGACCCAGCACCCCCCAGAGACCCCGCAGAGCTCACCTAAAACCACACAGAGCCCACTGCTGGGCCCCGGATTCTTCCACCTCCGCCACTGGACCAGCGCTGATGGGCCCCGGCCTCCTCCACCTCTGCTGCCACCACTGGGCCCTAGCATCCTCCTTCTCCTCCACCGTCGCCGGACCCCGGCCTCTTCCCACTCTGGTGCTGGGCCCCAACCCCCTGACCGGGTCCCCCTCTGCCGCAAGCCCCATAGCGACCGCGTGGGTCGCTATGTCAGTAGTTACGCTACTTTGCAGGGATGAAAAGTGATAGTTGCAGTAGAAAAGTCAAAAGACAATAAACTCTTGAATTGGTAGCAGTTCTGCAAAGGACAGCAAATCTAGAGTTATTCATAGGCCTAATCCCTTTATTTGCAATGATTATAAGGTTCAAAGATTTGAAATGTTGGTCCAACACACATTTTGTGTGTATATCCTGGGTGTATATCATCGCATATTTGCGTTGACAAAGCATAGGATATACATGCAAAACATGCGTTGGCCAGGATTTCAATCTTTTAACCTTAAGCCTACGAATGCCTTAGGATTCTCTTTCCTATGTGGAACTGTTTTTAAAGTCAGTTTGGAAGGATGCACCAAAATCGAGCTATGAGAACAAGAGAGATAGAAGTTGACCCTGGAGAGGCATCCAGATAAGGCTAGCAATGCCAGTCTACAACCTTCCTCAGGAAATTTGTGAGTCCTACACACTTTCTGACTTCTAAACTGGTTTTAGCCGCTTGCAGACCCTGTATATCAGAGCTAGATAAATTAGTTAATGCACTGACAAGATGCATGCTGATGGCAAGAGAAAGCAAAAGTGATAGAAAGATGAAGTCATCACTGGGCTGATTCTTCTTTGACTGTCCAGTCACAGGCTGGGGTGGGTCCAGGATGACCTGGGCTCAGAGGAAATAGGTTGAATCATACTGGCTTTCAGACTGAGGACACCTTTTAGCATAAACATTTATTGCAGTGGAAATCTCTGGACTGAATGTGGATATTGCAATAAAAGCTAGCTGTGTTATTTATCTTTTTAAGGTTTATTCATCTTATCTTGTTATTTTAGCTGGAGTCCTGCTTTAAAAATCATGGAAATTGGAATGTATAGATCTATCCTAATTTATACACCTCCTCTGAGAGCACAAGATGGAAGAGGCTGGTGCCCATCAACACAGAGGAACCATTTTTAGCCCCTATTCTCTGAGGCATCCAACAAAAACTGCTGATTGGCATACACGCTGTTAATGACATGACATGCTTGTGTTACTATAGTATACATCATCACCAGAGCTGAATTTAGACATCATGCTGCCCTTGACACATCTGAATGGATATGCCTTTTCGTAGAAGCTCCTCCCCTTATATCATGCAAATGTGCTACTGAAAAAATCATGCTGTCTGTTATAGAATTCATTGCTACTTTTTAACTGTATAGACTAACAAACCGCCTTTTCGTGTGAAGTTTCACTCCACTAGATCTGTGCCCCTTGGGCTTTTAGGCAAAATACATCTGCAGTACAGATTGTAAGGCCACCACCTGGTCTTCTGTTCACATGCTCTCTAAATTCTACCGATTCGATGTTCAAGCCTCTGCTGATGTGCGTTTTGGCTGTAAGGCACTTAAGGCTCCTGTCTGAGTGGGCTGTTTTCTGTCGTTGGGCCTGTTAGCAGTTGTTGTCCATTGTCTTAGTCCATTGCTTTTGGACATCCCAGTCATCTCTGAATCTGCCTGTGTCCTGTACTGTACAATCAAGAAAGTTGGATTTTTTACTAACCAGTAAAATCCATTTCTTGGGGTACAGAACAAGACACAGCATCCAACCCTCCGTATATCCTCTAATGCTTACTAAAAAACGGAGGATTTTCTGGTGTAGGCCCTCACAGCTCTGGCCAGTGTCCAACAGCCTGGTGATACTGGTAAGTCAAAAATCCAACTTTTGCATTGTGGTAAACTGCATTCATAATAATGGTTGTACAATTCACTAATACATATAATGTGCATTAACAAGTATTGTGGTCAGGGGCGTCCCGAGGCTGGGTGACACCCGGAGCAGTAACCAAGTGTCACCCTGCCGAGACGTCACTGCGCGTGCGCGATGACGTCATCGCGCACGCGCGGCAGTATTCTGATACCTGCCGGCGGTCATCTTGGTGATGGACGCCGGCAGAGAGAGGAGGGGACAGTCACCCGGCGGGATAAGGTATGCCGCCGGGTCTCCTGATACTGTCGGGGGTTCGGTCCATGACCGAGCGCCCGACTTTTCAGAGGGGGGGGACACCAAAATGACTGTGAGTCATTTTGGTGTCACCCCTCCAATGGTGTCACCCGGGTGCGGGCCGCACCCCCCTTGTGACCCCACTGATTGTGGTGTCAAAAATGTGATTCGGCCCTTTGTGTGTTACACCTCAATTGTTACACTTACCTGTTTCAGGTCCTCTGAGTTCTCCTCTGTGCGGTTCACTGAAAGCCACACAACCCAGTCAGCCACTGCTTGAAAAGACTATCAGCCGTGCACTATTTTTTCTTTGAATGCAGTGCAATCTCCATCTATTTCAAGGGAAAGGCCATCTACCATGGACATCCTTTTTATAGGAATAAATGGGTATTGCTGCAAAGTAGATGGCCTTTGGCAAAAGAGCATCTTATTCATGACTTGCCTCACATTATTTTGAAAGATAGGGGTTTCTGGGTCTAGATCCACTTTAAATTACATGATGAATGTTATTTACAAAGTTGATTATTCATAGTTATCATTTTTAATATATCAAAATTAGTTTGAAAGGACGAAGGTATATTTTTATTTCAGAGTCTTATGCCCTGAGTCACCTTCTAGTTTTCATTATCTCAGAGGCTCCAGCAGTGAGATTACCCATCATAGTTCTTGCACACCTTGGAGTTTAACTCTTTTTGCAAATAGCGAGTTTCCCACTCCACGTGCGGAATTTAGGATAGTATAAAATAACTTACAAATCCAACATGGAGTCTGAAAAACCCTCATCATTTCCACAAAGTCTGTACAAACCAGGCATCACCAGTGCAGAGATCTCACCACATTGGTTACCAAAAACAGAGGAGACCATTGACAGGTATGAAATTAAAATGTCTGCTAAAAACTGACATATCAGTTCTGAGTACATTGACATTAATGTTGTCTAACCCCTGAATTGTAAAGACTACCAAGGTAGTGGGATTACCTGCTGATGTGAGGGAATTCATGGTTTATTAAATATAGTCATGTCATGCAGTGTAGAGGGGATAAACATTTTTTGGGTGAGACTATAGAGGAGAGAGCAAGGAGAGGCAGCCAGGAGAAAGAGCATGAAGAGACAGCCAGGGGAGGGAGTAAGGGGACTGTCTATAGAGGACTACAAATCCCAGCAATACATAATACAGCAATACAAAATAATATGAAGCTACATACTCTGTGTTGTTCTAGGGTGGCACCCTAATGTCTCCAGTGTTTCAGGTGGCCTGTGTTGGTTCTCAGGTTGTTGTGGAAATTTTACTAGGATGTGTTTTTAGTGTATTGTAATGTTTTGTCATTAGTCTCTCAGTGTCTAGGTAAATAGACACTGGGGGATTAATCCATTGGAGGAGATATCTTATGCGTGGCGGAGCAGTGTCTTCTTGGCGAATGTATGGACGCCGTCTGGGGCCCCCCGTGCAATGCATGGATTTATTGGCTTGCGTGGATACATTTGTTTGGAACGCAGTATATGAAAGGAACGTGCGTTTGTTCTCTCTGGTGTGCCTGATCAACACGCTAGGGATAATGACGTTGTCCCTGTGAATGAGCGCGCATGAGAATCATAGTAACGTTATGTGGCATTGATCACTGAGCAATGCTGGATAAAGTCACTCCGGTGGTGATAGATTATTCTACTACATGTGATTGTTCTACTACATGTGATTGTGATTGTTCTACTACATGTGATTGTGATTGTTCTACTACATGTGATTGTTCTACTACATGTGATTGTTCTACTAATGTGTTTTGTTAGCTGGCTCCTGTTCACTTCCTGTCTGTCCCACTTCCTGGTTTGCTGGTTGTTGAAATCTACTGTTGGTTTGACATCACTTCCTGTCTTGCCCCATTTCCTGTCTCGCTGTTTGAGACACCCCTTCCTGTCTGACATCCCTTCCTGTTGGGCAGGTATAAACAATAAACATACCTGTGTTCAGGTCTCTAAGCATGGGATTATCAAGCAAGCAGCATCTGTCTCCTGACTCTACATGACTCTATGGAATACTTCCAGTCCTTGCACAAAAGAGCATAGTACAACGGGGGAAATTCTTTGCGTTTGGCGCAATGCGACATGGATTTGT